GGTGTCGAACGTACTCACACAAACATAACTGCTGCTTTAGCTCAATTAACTAGTGTAGACGATAAACTTGGACCACATAGTGTAATTATGGGTGTCACAGTAAGTCATATAAAAGGATTTCCCTTAAAGTGTTTCAGGTTTTAAATTATTATTTAGAGTAATTTTTCATTATCGCTTAAAAATATAGCAATTTTGTCACGCTTATGCACTTGATCGTATTCTTCATGCGCCTTTAATTCACGTATGTAATTCTATGTTTGATACTTTCGTCATTACATTGTCAATTAAGAGTTATGCGTTAATGAAATACTGTAGGGTGCTACTACAATCATTCATTCAATCTTCAATTGGGAAATGTTTTGTGAATCAGTTCAAAAATATAAAATTACCCATATTTGCGCTACACCGTCAATAATAATTGAACTTGTCAATAATCCAGAGGCTCAAAAATTTGATTTGTCAAGTGTGGATAGAATTATATGCACGGCAGCTCGGTTAGAGTATAAAATAGAAAGAAAATTTTATGAAATGTTTAAAATATTGATTCTTCAAGCTTATGGTAAGAAAGTTTATCACTAGGTCGTTTGAACTAACGTAGCTTCTTTTCTGAACTTTCTTACCTTTCATTATGGTGCATTATTTGTATGTCATAATAAAGGTTCTACTGAAATGGCTGCGGTACTGTGTTGTCTTGATACAATGGAAAATGCAGTTCCAGGTATTATGTTATTAAATGATGTATTAAATATTTCATGATTTACTAAAACAATATTTTTAATAGGTTCTAGTGGGGTTCTTACTCCACATATGAAGGCTAAAATATTATCAGAAGATGGTCGTGGTAACTATGGATATATTTTTTCCTAACTTAAATCCAAATAAAATTCATTATTTTACATTTACATTTAGAATTGGGATACAACGAACTTGGAGAATTGTGGGTTGAAGGTCCAAATATTATGAAGGCACGTAGTATAACCATTATACTAATATAATTATTTACTTGTACTAAAAATTTTACACTTTTAAATAGGGTTATCTCAATAATAAAGAAGCTACAGATGCTGTTTTCGACAAAGACGGATTTTTTTGCTCAGGAGATATTGCATCTGTTGATGAACAAGGTATATGTTATTATTGAATTATATTTAGATATATATATGCTTACATAATTATAATTTCCTTTTTTTTTTTATAAAGGGAACTACTTTATTGTTGATCGAAAAACAGAGTTAATAAATTACAAAGTACGATTATAATAATTATCATCATTTGCATACTATTATGATTTTAAATTTGACTGACACAAAAATCGAAATTTGCAGGGTTTTCAGGTGATACCTTCCGAACTGGAATCTATTCTACTTACGCATGATGCTGTTGCAGATGCAGTAGTATTAGGATATTATTCTGAAGAAGAAGCAACCGAAATTCCTATAGCATATGTCGTAATTAAAAACGGGTATGAGCAGTCTCAATCATTAGCAAGAGAAATTCAATTTTTTGTAGATGAAAAGGTTGCACCGCATAAAAAATTAAGAGGTGGCATATTGCTTATAGATAAAATTCCAAAAAGTGAGACTGGTAAAATTCAAAAAGTAGTTTTAAAGGAGAAATTAAAGAATGATAAGAGAATTAAAATGAATTAGTTTATTGTTTATCCAATATATTATTTTGTCAAAGTCAATTTATTTATGAAGTAATAAATTGTATTTTTACATTCTATTATTTTTATTTGTTTCCGAGTTCAAAATATGCCATGTTGTACTGGATATAGCTAGGCCCTATTAAATCATAAACCAAGCTCAGTGTTATATTTAAAATTTGTTAATTAAACACGTGTGTATATGAAATATTGCTATATTTGAAATTTAAAGAAAATAACTATATAAAATAATTAGATTATGTATATCGATAGATAAAATATAAAGATATAAATACAGTCAGACCTCTCTAAGTCACCTCTAGTGTTGGTAGGCGAAACTGTTTTTGACAAATGGCGAAAGACGAAACTCTGGCGAAATGGCGAAACTCTGGCGAAACCCTGGTAAAATTGAAACCCCTGGGGAAAGTCAAAACTTGGCGAAGATCAAATCCTCTAAGGCTTTAGAAAAGACTGAGCCATGTTAATAAATCAAAATATTTTGCATATGGATATTAAGTTCAGCATGTGTCTTACTTAAAATATACAAAAGCAATAAACAAAGTGATAACCTTTCATTTGTATTCAATTACTATTAAAGAAAACTAGATCTCCGGCTTTTGGAACTTCGAAGTAAACAAATTCAGCCTTGAAAATTCAGAGCCTAAAAAATCTTGTTTTCTTTTAGTAACGTTTATTTATGTATTAGTATTATTTATGTAAAAAAACCTATCAAAATATTTAAATAAATTTATTGTTAGATTGTTTAGGTTTTTTCTTTTTAATATTTCATTGTTAAAATCTTTAATTAAATACTATACATACGTATGTATGTAGCTCGTTAACACTAATATTACTGGCCGATGCTCTAATTTATCTAACTCTAAATCTTAGGGGTATTAATTTGCAAATCCGTGTAATGTAAATTTGCATAAAATGAAATTAAAATTAGGGTAAGGGCAGGCTTGTGATGGGACGGGATTAATTTATATAAAAATTTCGCAAGGTTCTTTTTTTATTAGTACCCAATAGGTGGTTGAATAAGCGAAATTTTGAAATAATTTTATGTTACAACTGATTGGCTTTCTATATATCCGTGTATATACATGTATATAGTGTACAAATAGAAATTGCCTATAATAAAATTACCAATTATTAAAAATTTTTATTGTAAAAAATATATATTGTAACAAATATAATAGCACGGGGGTCATGGACACGGAAATTATGGATTTAGTGTGATTAAACAAAATCACACTAAATCATATAATTTTGCTTCACTTATATTACGTTGGTATTATGTGCACTCGTTTGAAATTTTTAGTATCGTAATATTTTAAAATGTATAATAAACTATGATATTCTAGTAGTATATTAATTTATATAGTATGCTAAAACACCATAAATAAATTTGTCTTCAAAATTAGAAAGAGAATTTTGCTATTTTAATAGTTCAAAAGAACAACGAGTACTTGATTTAAAAATAACAATTAAGTTAATACAGTTAACTATAAATAATTTTATTTTTTCTAGATTAATTAAAAGAAGTGTTTTGTTAACAATAAATGAATCAGAAACAGATAAATTTGTTTAGTTGAGTGCAATATTTAACTAATTTTTATTAAAGTGTTTTTTAAACAATAAATAATTTGAAACAGTTAAGTTATTGCTTAGTTGAGCACAGTATTTAAAAAAATTACAAGTTTTTTTTATTAGATAAAATGCTTAGTAAACATCATTAAATCGCATTTTTAATTTTTAATCATCAGTATATCAAATATTCCATAAGGTAAAAGAAGATATTTTGGATAATGTGGTGGATCATATATTATTGAATTTTCATGTGTTCTACTAATTAGAAATTAATAATTCTTATACTATTTGATTTGTCTCACCATGACAGATTGAATGGTGCAAAAAATATTCAATTTTGATAAAGGAATTGCAAGATACTTATACAAATAACTTTTAATTTACATAGAGTGATTGATACTGTAGTGATCATCATAATGCATATATATAACTGTTACTTAATTGGTGTTGAACTCAAGGTTGTTTTATTTTGCATTTTGAATAAACCCTAAAAATTTTGATTATTTTATTATTAATTTTAAATGTTTAAGAATTTACTTGTTTATAAAACACTGCAATCAAAGAATATTTAGTTGGTTAAACTTTTTTCCTCAATTCAGATGTTCTATAGAATAGGTGGCAAACTCTGCAAACTCCGCAACTCCACTATTAAAAATTAATGATTACTAATAATTATTCTTATATTGCCCATTTATTCTATAGAACATCCTTTTTTTAATCTTAAAAATTATAATTTGAAACTTAATCATACATATAAAAATTAGATCTATGAAAATTGTAATATGAATAAATTGAATTTAAATTTTCTTATTAAGCCAGATATTTTTTTTTGAATTAGCTGTATACATGATAAGATTAGTTACAGATTTGTATCAAGATGATATTAATTTTAAACTATCTATTATATCTTGTATAATCACCTAAGTATAACAAATTACCTCTTAATTTTCTATTTATAAACTAATTTAAGACTAACTACCATTAGTTATAGAAGGGGAAAGAGGAAGCCCAATAGTTAAAGTATAAGATTAATAAAAGCATAAAAAAATAAAAAAATTTGATTATGCTATTTTTAAATAAATAAATCAATATTGTGATTATAAATTGTTGTTGTAGATGTTCTAGTAGTGGTATTTGGAAAGAAGAATTTAATTGGTTTGGATTTAAATGTAATGTTTCTTGAAGTTTTCCAGTCATGTTAGAATAGGTTTCTAATTTGCTAAATGTTTAAGTTAAATCAAGAAAGAAGATTATTAGAAAGATAGAGACAAAAGTTAGTAGTATTTTTAGTAAGAATAGATTGTAATTGGTCAGTAATACAAAAAGAAATTGTTCCTTGTATAAGGAAAAGAAAGTTTTGAGAAGAAGTGTTATGAGTATTTGAATTAAATAATATATTTGTAATTGTTACAGGATTTGTATTTTCAATTTTAAGTTTAATTATTGTTTGAATTGTATATTGATAAAGTATTTGATATAGATCAAAAAAGTATGCTTGATAACAGTTTAACAGATGTAAAGTATCTTCAAATTGGTTGCATCAAGTACAATTAGGAGTTAAATAAAGATAAGGATAGCAAAGATAAAGGTTGAACATTGTAAATAGATTATTTAATAGTATTTTAATATATAGAGAAAACAAATTAGTTTTGTAATTACAAGAGTTAGTGATAGTTGTAAAAGTTTTAATATTGAATTGAAAAATGTTACAGATGTTTTTGAGTTAGAGAAATTTGTTAAAGGTTTCAATAAAGATTATATTTTTTGTAAATTTATAGATTTGTGAGGTAAGTAGGATATTGTACCATGAAAAAAAAGATAATGTTATAAGGTGATCTAAATTAAGTTCAATAGATCATCTGTTTGTGCTTCTTTTTGCAAGAATATTAGCATTTCGATTTAAAGCATTTTTGGAGTATGCTTTAACTTTGTGTATAGTGAGTGATATATTTTTCTTTTGAAGAAGATTGTTAATAATGTATAGATAATCCCAGTTTTTAGTTTTGATTTGTGTAAAGTGGTAATAAGGTAAATTTTTTAGAGTTTAGATTGTAGAGAAATTATCATAGTGAATAGGTATATATAAGTTTTGTGATAAAGAAAGAAGTATAAATATGATTGGTGCTAGTTCAACTCTTGTGGTGTTAAAAGCATTTGTAACATTAGCAGAAACTTTAATTTTGGTATTATTTTCTAAGATCCAACCAATTTCCCATTTGAAGATTTGGTGTTTGAGTATTTTTAATTGATGAATCTCTAATAAGGTAAATTGTATTTGTTGATAGATATTAACAAGTTCTGTTTGGTATGCTGGAGTAATGATAGAGTTGATTATAAGTTTAATATTGAGATTTTGTATTTAAATATATGTATTTTCTAGAGTAATAGGTTGGTGTAAGGAGGAGGAAATTTGTGATAGTGATAATATTTCTTGGTAATCGATTAAGAGTTTATAAGTCTGTTTTTATTTTTGACTTTTACAAAGAAAGTTGACTGTAGATGCAAAGGAGATTGTAGATATTTGTTAGAAAGGTTGAAGGATTATAATGGCAGGAGATTTTTGAAAAATCAGGTAGTTTTCAAAGAAAAAGTTGTTTTGTGTAATAGAAATAATTTTCCCTATCTATAAATTAGTTGTAGAGAAGAGAATTGTCTAGTTATTTTTTTTAGAGATTATAGATAGTATTGAATTAATAAAGTATATTAATAATGGATTAATATTTTCTAGTTGGATTGATGGCCAGGCTAAGAGTAATAAGTTATTAGTTATTTGATTTTTAATATATTTGTACCAAGAAGAATTGGTTCTCTGGATGATTTATGTGTTCGAAGATATATGTTGTTCTATGGTAGTAGAAATTGATTATCAGATATGAGGAGTTGTTCAATATAAAGTATTTGATTGTTTTTAAGACTTTGAATAGTTGATAGTTTAGAATTTGAGAGAATAAAATTGTAGATTATATTTAGTTTAAAATTATTTGAATTGTTTTTTTTTTTTTTTTATGGTTTATAGAACGACCTCATTGGTCAGGGGTTTCCCTTTATTATTAAAGTATCTGCAGTCCGTATTTTTACGGAAGGGTTTACAGTAACATATCAATGAGGGTACAATAAGCCACACGTACAACTTTAGTCATTGTCTATTTAAGGGTTCCGCCCGTAGGTTCCCCACTCATTGCCATACCTAAGACCCGCTTGTGAGTCCCCTATTTAAACTCTCTGATTTTCAATGTTATTCTGCTCACGTGATCCTTAATTTAGGTACTTGGTCCAACCTTTAGGCTACTTTACCCGTGAGGTAAATTCTACTAAAGAAGATAGTTCCCACAACCACACCTTATCTGGATTTTATTGTGCCAGAGGTGATTTTATATTAGGTAAGGCTAATCCTTTCTACAAACGTTGGCGACATTCTCCACATTTCTCACTATAGTAGTGACCATGCTCTGCCGTACCAGTTTCCTTCTAGGAATTTCTTAAACCAAACGTGTACCTTCACTTGGACTTCCACAGGGCTTCACATAAGATTATAGGCTCCTTTTTAGGTTACAGAGTATTCTACCTCCAGCCAAACTCGAACAGTCAATCTTGTCTGTGGGGGACGGGAGCTTATCCATTAAGCTATGGGACCCAATCCCCTCTACAACTTTATTTAGAAGTACAACAAATGCTAACTTAATAAAAACTCTTTTTTTTTTCTAATTGGCTATCCTGCCCTTGTTTATTTAAGATCAAGTTATTCAAAATTACAAGTAACTTATCTCTAACTAAAGTAAATCAAACCAAATGAAGAACTCACTCAGTAGCTCTTGGCCTCCCTCAAGGTCCTTAATTCACTAAGAACTTTTTTTCCATTGTTTATTGGCTGGCAGCTACTTGTTCATCAAGAAACAAAATCAGAAAATAAAACAAACAAACTAAAAAAAAAAAAAATACAAGGGTTAGGGCTCTATAGCTTAGTGGTTTAAGTGCCTACCCCCCACAGCCAAGGTCTTTGGTTCAAGTCCTACTAGAAGCAGTTTTTAAAATATTTAAATGCAAAACCCTGTGGAAGTCCAAGTGAAATACGAATTTGGTTTAAGAATTTCTGGAAGGAAATGCATTATGGAGAAGAAGAGCACTACATGTGACAGCGATGTTACAGAAGGTTTGACGACAGGAAGGTTGCGTAAGTAAATCCTGCTGGTGGCAAGGTAGCATCAACATCTCTAAGGCAGTCTTAGGATCTTGATTTGGGAGGGTAACACAACTGTAAAAAGTGGTGAATATAAAGGGATCTGTAGTAAAGAATTAGCCTAACCAAATAAGGAACATCTCTGGCAACTTATACTAATATGAAGTGGTTAATATAAAGAGGTGTTACAGAATATCTGTGTACGTGTAAAGACTCGCACATCGTCGGTATAAGTCACACCCAATTGGAAGTCTCTAACGAAACACAAGACCAATATGGATACACCAATTCTAAAACACCAACCAGTACAGCCATAAGTTGGAAGTAATACTGTTACACAAAACTTGATTGGAAGTAGCTCTACTTGTTAGAATCACGCCCATGTCTAGGTCTATACCAATTCGGGAAGTATATAAATAAATATACTGTACATATACTCAAATGATAAGTCCACCACTGAAAGGGTATAAAGATCGGTGAGATGATTAGGAGAGTGATCTGAGGATTCACCTAAGTAGGACCCTATGTATGGATAGGTGTATACACCAAATTAGAAGTACTTAGATATGACGGCAGAAAAATCTCACCAATCTGGTAGTTTATATAGTATATGGAGAATATATTAAAACATAATATAATAGTATAGAAATCCTGATATATACTAAAAATAGTGTTAGATAAATCAGCTAGGGATGTGCATTTGTGAATAAAATAGTCTTAAGCTGAAGTCTTAGTAGTTATATCATAGTTATCACATAATTTGTAATTATAATATAAATAATAAAAGACATAGGCAAAAGATGCCACCCTTAAAAAAAAAACACAAAGGTATAGGGGACTATGGTAAAAGAATACAAAATACGAAAAAAAAGGGGTAAAGAAATATCGAAAAAACAAAAACAAAACACAAAATTTGCTAATTTTAATGCCATGGTTTTAAACCTGTGGATGGCTTGAAAAAATTACATTCTGACTAGACAATTAGTCTCTACTTCTATTTTTTTCTAAACTAGTATGCATAAGTAAAAACCTGATAGGAAAAACTTTATCGACCGGCTTAAGATAGAAAGGTTGGAACAGAGTCTCAGAGCATCATTTATACAGATATTCATTGTATTTGAGGCATGTATATATACATGTTTGTTGTTATATTCCGATTTGGAAGATAAACAATGCTGACTTGTTTGGTACATATGATGTCAATTATTTAGAAAGAATAAGCTAAAACGCCCACTTTTTACAAAAATATCCTCAAAAAAAAGTAGTGGGCCAATGAGAGTATGTGAGGTTCTTCTTATAAGTTTTACAGTTATATAGTCTTGCTTCTCTATTTCTACCATTTAGAAGTACATGTTGGCTACTTCTACAGACTTGTACTCAAAATAAACCTTCTAGTTTGGATGCCGAATACTTTAAAAGTCTGCTAGAAAGAAAACTTGATACCAAAAAAAACCGTTTATATTTTTTGACGCCCGCTCCTTGGTATTTCACATTTGGATACTTAGACTTTATCGACAACAAGCTGCTCCTACTTATAGAATCAAGTTTTAGTATCTACTTTGTTATTACGCAGAGGACCATTTATATAATGGTCA